CGGAATTACAGGCATGCGTTACCACGCCCGGCTGATTTTTTGATTTATTATAGAGATAAGGTCTCGCTGCCCAGACGGGTCTCGAACCCATGGACTCAGGCAATCCACTCACATCAGCCTCTCAAAGGCGTGGGATTACAGGCTGAGCCACCGAGCCCGGCTGACACAAGCACATTTAATCAGACACATTCTTCTTATATTCATGATCATTTACCACCCTAAATATTAATTATGTTAAAAAAAGACATGATTAAATTGAATCTTTCTGACATTAGAAGTCTCTTAGATTCAGGAACGGGCGCAGTGGCTCATGCCTGTCATCCCAGCACTTTGGGAGGCCGAGGCAAGAGGAGTGTCTAAGACCAGGGGTTTGAGACCAGCCTGGGCAACTTGGTGAGACCTCGACTCTACAATCAATAAAAAAAAATTAGCTGGGTGTGGTGACACATGCTTGTAGTTCCAGTTATTTGGAAGACTGAGGCAGAAGGATCGCCTGAGCCCAGCAGGTCGATGCTGGAGTGGCCGTGAGCTTGCTACTACACTCCAGCCTGGGTGACAGCGTGAGACTCTGACCAAAAAAAAAAAAAAAAGACACAATTAAGTTGAATCTTCCTGATATTAGAAGTCTTAGATTCAGGACCAGGTGCAATGGCTCATGCTTATAATCCCAGCACTTTGGAAGGCCAAAGAGGAAGGATCGCTTGAGATCCCAAGTTCAAGACTAGCCTGGGAAACATAGTAAGACACTGTCTCTACAGATAAAATAAATACAAATTAGCCAGGTGTGGTGCATACCTGTAGTCCCAGGTACTTAGGAGGCTGAAGCATGAGGATCGCTTGAACCCAGGAGTTGGAGGCTTCAGTGAGCTATGATTGCACCACTGCACTCCAGTCTGGGCAACAGACTGAGACTCTAAAAATAAAAAAAGTCTCTCAGATTCATTAATGCTGCATCAAATCAAAACGCTCCCTAGAAGAAAAAGGAAGTGGGGGGTGGAAGCAGAAGAGGGCATAGGGGAAGAAAGCCCTGATCTAAGACCCTGGAACCTGCACCCATGAGAGCACCTCCCTCTGCCCCTCAGCACACCAAGAATTACACCCTCCACCCAGGGGGCCCCTTTTACTCTCAAAGCCATCAGGCAAGGGGCCATGGCGCCACGGCAGTTAATGTGCTACTGACAGTCTCCACCTCCTTGGCCCCAGAGGTAACCGTTACCTTACTTCTATACATGTTCACTTAAATTCTTTGAAAACGTGTCATGCTTTCAATCCTTGGTGCCCTGCCCCATAATAAGTATTTAAGTGTTATTTCATTTCATAAACACATTTTTATTGTTGCCTTCATAATAGTAATATCAATAACGACAATAACAGTAATATCAATAATAATAATAAAAGCAGCTATCAGTTGGTGGGCATCTACTGTGGGAATCAGGACAAAGGCCAAGATGGTGGATGCCAGGGCTCTGCAGTGTCAGTTCATCTCCCAGAATTCCCATTCACCCGCAATGTGCTCTTGGGCTAATGATCTGAAGCTCTCTCTGCCTCAGTTACTTTGTTAAATGGGGAAAGTAACAGCATGTGTAAGATTATGATGAGGAGTGTTTGAGTAAATGGACATTTTGAAATGCTTATGGTATCACCTCGGGTCCATGGACGTGCTTATGCACTTGGCTATTTTCTCCAGGGGCTGGTCTCAGGGCTTCGCAGTCATTCACTCAACTTCCTCCTCACCTCTCGCATTTAAGGCGGAGATTCTCTACTTTGTTTCCATCCATGAGAGAAGAGAAGCTTGGCAAGGCATGGTGGCTTGATAAAGACCAAAGCTAGTGTTGGAGAGAGCGTCCAGGGTTGCACCACGCTGTGCACGTTATTTTCTCTTGTGGCAGCAAGGTGTGCTAAAATTACATTGTGGTACTTCTGCCATGCGGTAGCAAATTCAGGCCAAGTACTGTTCCAATGAGCATCACAACGGTGAAGCAGAGTGGCACCCCAGAAGGCAGCACCGATAAGGGAGACCCGTAAAAGCTCTCGCATTTGTTTGGTAAAGGGGGGGAAGGGGCATTGGTTGCATATCCCAGGCTAGCTACCAGTCATGCCAAGGGCCTTGTCATGTTTCTCACTTAATGCTCATAAAACCTCGTTTCATGAGGCTCAGAGGGGTTAAGCCACTTGACCAAAGTTACACAGTGGAGCCAGCATTCAAACCCAGGCCCATATCATTTTGTGAACCTCTGATGAGATTTGAGATTTGTATTCTCAGCCACTTTTATTTCCTATTTGGCACTAAAGCAGTTTAAACACACACACACACACACACACACACACACACACAAAACTAGTTGACAGCCTAAGATGATTGATTTATTTTCTCTTGTGGCAGCAAGGTTTGCTAAAATTACTTCATCTTAAGAGACTTACTGGGATTCCTGAATGAGAAATACCCCTGCGTCCTCAATATTTTTTCTTTTTATGAAACAAAAATAGCTCCATATTTTGGGGAGAGAGAGTTTGCAGCAGGTAAGTTTCTCTTTTTTTTTTGAAATTTACTTTATTATTTACTTGTTGTTGTTGTTGTTGTTGTTGTTATTTGAGTCAGAGTCTCACTCTGTTGCCCAGGCTGAAGCACAGTGGTATAATCGAGGCCCCCCCACAGCCTTGACCCAGTGTTGGAACCCGGCTAACTAATAAAGCCTCTCCTTGAGTTTTTCCTGGGTCTGGTTGATCCTGTCCACCCTTGGAACCACTGTATCCTCAGTCTCATGCTCAATAACTTACTCAAGTCAAAGAAGATTTCAGGCCGGGCTCGGTGGCTCAGCCTGTCATCCCAGCACTTTGGGAGGCCGTGGCAAGTGGACTGCCTGAGCCTGTGGGTTCAAGACCAGGCCTGGCAACTTGGCAAGACCTAGTCTCTACAATAAAAAAAAATTAAAAAAAAAAAAAAAAAAAAAAACCTTAAAAAAAAGGAAGAAGAAAATTTCAAATGGCTTATTTTTAGATGAAAACTACCAAATACACCAGGAGATCCAGGAGAAACAAAAAGTGGACATCACCTATGGGTGGGACCAGACGTAGGAGCACGGGCCTATCCGTATTTCCACAGCCACCAACTGCCAGTGCAAAGCACAGGGGAGGTACTCAGAAAGACGGATTGCCAGACGGGCTGGGTCACCCGCACCTGCTTTCCAAAAGGAACAGAAGTGCCCACGTGCAGTACTGGCTTGGGTCTCTGCCATCCAGCCCCGTCTTTGCCGAGCGCCTGTGCCATGTGTTCACCCTGGGGATCGTCGTTACGATTTATTTCTGTGCTAGACCAACAGGAAAGGTCAAAGTCATCCACAGAGCGGGAGAGAGAGAGAAAGATGTTCTTTATCCAGAGACGTTTTCTGTTTGCTTCTGCAAAAGTACCCCAGGGACTTTTCTTTTTTATTGACTTTTTTTTTTTTTGGAGTTGAGGTCTCACTCTGTCGCCCAAGCTGGAGTGCAGTGGCACGATCACAGCTCACCGCAGCCTTGACCTCCTGGGCTCAGGTGATCTCCCGCTTCAGCCTCCTGGTACCCACCACCATGTCTGGCTAATTTGTAGATTTTTTTTTGTAGAGATGAGGCCTTGCTATGTCACCCAGGCTGGTTTTGAACTCCTGGACTCAAGCAATCCTCCCGCTTTGGCCTCCCAGAGTACTGGGATTATAGGTGTGAGCCACCACACCTGGCCAGGTGCTCTCCTACTTTTCCTGTTGAATCCAAGGTCATGGTGGATGTATGATGAACGAACCTACAAGGCCAAAGGCATGCTGGGAGCACAGACCGAGCAGACGGGCCTCCCTGACCCCTGAGCGGGTGGAAGACAGTCTTGGGCTCTGCCCTTTCACTGAGGGAGCAGGACCCCTCTCCCGGGACACAATGCCACAGCTTCACCTGGCACAGACCAGAAGGCGGACACAATTACAACTGAGGATTTCCGTTCCCTCTTCCTGTTTCGGCCCCTGGTAACTTCTTTTTCTTTCCTGTGAGCTCCGTCATGCATTTCAAAGGGGGTCTGTTGCACCGTGACCAGCATTTCTGGGGGTTTTATGGCAGGCATGGCTTTCAGATGATCTGGTTTGCTGTGTTTCCAGAAATGCAAGTCTGCACTGCCTGTTTCCTGTCCCCAAGCAAGCCTGCTTTCTCCCTACGGTGTCCCTAGATCATATCGTCTCAGGGAACGCACCCAGGTGGTCTCCCTCGCTCTCCTCCTCTGGTCCGCAAGCCAGTCTGCAGTCTTTGTCATCACCTTCAAATGCAGGTGGAGAGCTGGCTGCTCATGCCTGTAGTCCCAGCACTTTGGGAGACTGAGGCAGGAGGATTGCTTGAGCCCAGGAGTTCAAGACCAGCCCGGGCAACATAACAAGACCTCGTCTCTGCAAAAAATAAAAAAAAATTATCCGGGCGTGGTGATGCACACCTGTAGTCCCAGCTACTCTGGAGGCTGAGGTGGGCGGATCATTTGAACCCGAGAGTTGAGGCTATGGTGAGCTCTGATCATGCCACTCCACTCCGGCCTGGGCGACAGAGCAATACCCTGTCTCCAGAAAATAAAATGCAGGTGGGGTGGGCCACCCTTCTACTCAATACTTTCTAAAGGCTTCTCGTGCCTTTGGGGTAACGTCCACGCTGCCCAGAAAGACCCTCAGGTCTCCCTGCCCTGCACCTCAGCCTTGCAGCTTGCCGCCTCTCCCCTCACTCCCATGGGTCTCTCTTCTGTTCTGCAGACCTGCTTCACAGTCCTCTTCCCCGCTGGGCCCTGGCCATGATGCTCCCTGCCTGGAATGCTCCTGCCCCCTCTCACTGGCCAACTGGTCCTCAGTTCTCTGTGTAGACATCATTTCTTCCAGGACTTTCCCTCTCCACCCCCTCCCCAACGATAGAAGGGATTTCATCACGTTGGCCCCGGCCACCCCCAGCTGACTCCAGTTGCAACATTCTTACTTGTCTCTTCCTGTCTCCAGGATTCAAATTATATGGTAAATGTCATAATCACAACATCCTACATGCACATTTATTTATTTATTATTTATTTTTATTTTTTGAGTTGGAGTCTCACTTCGTTGCCCAGGCTGGAGTACAGTGGCACACTCACAGTCACCGCAGCCTCGACTTGCTGGACTCCGGCAATCCTTCTGCCTCAGCCTTCCAAGGAGCCAGAACCACAGGTGTGCGCTACCACGCCTGGCTAATTTTTGGTTTATTGTAGAGATGAGGTCTCCCCAAGTTGCCTGGGCTGGTCTTGAACCCTCAGGCTCAGGCAATCCACACGCTTCGGCCTCCCAAAGTGCTGGGATGACAGGCTGAGCCACCAAGCCCAGCCCCTATATGTATTTTTAAACAAATAAATTACAACTAACACAAGGCTCAGGTCAGATGTGGTGGCTCACATCTGTAATGCCAGCACTCTGGGACACCGAGGCGGAAGGATTACTTGAGCCCAGAAACTTGAGACCAGCCTGGGCAGCACATCAGCCTTGTGTCTACAAAAAAATAATAATAATTTAAAAAGTAAATCAGCCGTAGTAGCCCTTGTCACCCCAGCTACTCAGGAGGCTGAGAGAGAAGGCTCGCCTGAGCCCAGGAGGCTGAGGCTTCAGTGAGCCGTGATTGTGACAGAGTAAGACCCCGGTTCAAAAATAAAAAATAAAAAAAGGTTTAATGATGTTCACTCCCAGCACTTTACTAGAAATCCTACTTTAAATCTGTCTCAATTGCAATGGCCACAAACGTGGCAGGCAGGGAGATGGGACATTAACCGAAGCTGCCTCATTGCTTATTTTCACGTAAAATCATCACGGCAATCCTGGAGATTTTGCTCCAAGAAGCAGTTATTTTAAACCCACCTGACCTGTGGGTCACTCCCAGTTACCATAATCAAGAATTTTACAAACGCATACCTTCTCTTCTTGTTCATAAAGGCACCCACATGCATTGGAAAGAGAAGCATGTGAAGACAGTACTATGGGTTTAAAGCGATAAGCTGATGCCCCTGTGTCATCAATGACAGGGTTGCTTTGATTTGTGGGAATATGCCCACCATTCACTTCTCAGACAGAAACGGAGACATCGAAAACTAGTAAGGATGCAAAAAGCAAGTTGTCACCTAGGCTGTAAGGTGTCTTACTTGTACTGTTGGTGATCTTTAGTGCTTCTGGTTTTGGCCATGAACCTCTCTGCCAACTTCTCTAGGTTCCGAGAATATTCTGTCTCAATTTCGGCCTTCTTTCGGAAGAAATCTTGCAGGTCCTGCAGCAGCTGAACGCGCATCTCCGTCTGCTGTTCCAGGCATTTCTGTTGTTCTACCAGCTGAGCTCGGATTTCTGTGGAGAGAAGAGAACCCATTTGAGGACTGCGTGAAAAAAAGACTGTGGTGAACTGTGCTGAGCCAGCTACAAGGCACAGATCCCATTATGCAGTTAGTCCTGTGTTGGACCTTCACCGGAACATCGTGTTTGGGTTGGTTCTGTAAATAAGGCATCTGCTGACCCTTTAACAGAACAGATGAGCCTCAGGAGAGAATGTCACAAATCAGAATAGAAACATGAGTTCCACTGGTAATGCCACAAACACGCATGGAGTCATGAGGGGAAAAAAATGAAAGCCTTTAAGACAACCATTCATAACATGTGACATCTCTGGGTGGCTGAGAACATTGTAATTTTTGCAACAGCATTTGACCTCAACTATTGCTTTTGAGTCTGACTGGCAAAGAAACCAGCATCACTTCTTCCAGACGCTAAACCACTGTGCATTTGCCAGTTGGCACACACAGAGACTGACATCTGGTCATTTTTGTTTAGTGCATAAACTTCTAGCTTGTAAAATGCATAGCTTCAGGGATTGTAGGGATGCCGTGCCTAAAAATAGCTTGTTTTTATATCCAAGTACTCCATTCATGACAGGGCAGTCCTCAGATCACCTTTATTGTCCTGCTCGCAGCATCACGGCCACTGCCCTTGGCCTTCTTGTACACACTGTTCAAACCAACACCTTTACTGACACGTATGATCCTGAAAGAATTCTTTGACTGTTTGCAAGCATTAGGGACACGAAGGTCAGTCATGCCATGTTTGAGCAGAAGCACAGAAACAAAACTGTGGCATGCATATCTGAAAATGATTATAACAAAGAAACATGTGTGTTTTGGAAAATGAGATACGGTAACTAATAACAACCGGCTTGTTTTTGTTCTAAATCTAGGGCTCACCTCCAAAGACAAGAATATCATGCTGGAAATGGCTTTAGTTCATCTTCCCGGGTGTCAGTGCTTATGCCCCGAGAGGGAGGACTGACTCTGATTCAGCGGAGTTAGTAGAAATGAAGACACAAATAACACTCCTTTCCAGTTCTCCCTCCTGTTCCTCTTCTAGAGGACTGCATGGACAAAACGTATGCATGAACTTTGACCGTGTTTAATCAAGCTCATGGACAGCAGGGTGGTGAAGCTCTGAATAGGGAGTCAGGACGTTTGCTCAATGTAATCATAGCTAATAACAATCCAATGTTTACTATTTTCCACCCTCATGAAGTAGGGACTAGTATTATCCTCCATTTTACAAAGGATAAATTAGAGCTTAAGAAGATTAACTACTTTACCAAAGGGCTTCGGCTATTAAGTGGGACCCCCAGGACCTGTCAGTCTGACTAATCAATCAAACACTTCCCACACCTCCTTCTGCCCATCCAATGTTGTTTGAGCACCCGTACTGTGCAAGGTTTATCTCGTGGCAAAAAAGACCCTCCTGGGGTCCCCTCCAGACAGCCCTGGGGAGAGACAGGGATGTGTTTCTCAAGTGTCCCCTAGATTGGGGGACCTTACTCTCAACCTCACAGAAGGGAGGTGAATACCACAGTGAACACATCATTGTAGGCTTTTAACTACCATGAACAGCATCTGGTTTTGAGTCAATCAAAGTAAATGTTTTCCAATACAGTATTATAATCAGCGTGTCTGCCAAACTCTCTCTCCCCCAAAATATGGAGCTATTTTTGTTTCATAAAAAGAAAAAATATCTAGGGTGGGAGTATTTCTCATTCAGGAATCCCAGTAAGTCTTTTAAGATGAAGTAATTTTAGCACATCTTGCTGCCACAAGAGAAAATAAATCAATCATCTGAGGCCGTCAACTAGTTTTCTGGGTGTGTGTTTAAACTGCTTTAGTGCCAAATAAATAAAAGTGGCTGAGAGTACATATCTCAAATCTCATCAAAGGTTCACAAAACGATATGGGTCTCCTTCTCAGGTCTCAGTTTTAACGATTCTCTTGCCTGCTTTTATCAGGATTTAAACCAAAAAGTAGAGAGTTCTGAGAAGGACTGTACTGAAACCTTATTTCTCTACAAGGGATTGCAGCTTCTCTTCCACCCCTGGATTCCTTGGTAGTCTATTAAGGGTCGTTGTTTTAGCTTTCTGGGATCAGTCTTGACCTGGATTATTTTTTCAAGCCTCAAGGTTCTTTTAGTTTAGCTAAACAAGCAATTACTGAGCTTCCATTGTGCCTGAGGCAGTATACTCTGCACTGGAGATACAAACATTTGTAAGACATATCTTCTTCTGTAAGGAAAACACATTTTTACATGGACCATAGCAATACCCTGTGTTCAATGTTATGATAAAGGAACACAACAGAAAGCTATGGAAAGAGGGACAGGGCTGGGCTCCATGGCTCAGTCTGTCATCACTTTGGGAGACCAAGGCAAGTGGATTGCCTGAGTCCACAGGTTCGAGACCAGCCTGGGCAACTTGGCAAGACCCTATCTCTGCAAAAAAAAAAAAATAGCCAGGCATGGTAGCACCCACTTGTACTTCCCGCTCCTTGGAAGGCTGAGGCAGAAGGATCGCCAGAGCCCAAACAGGTTGATGCTGTGGTGGCCGTGAGTGTGCCACTGCACTCCAGCCTGGGAGACAGAGTGAGACCTCAATTCAAAAAAAAGAAAAGAAAGAAAGAAGGACAGCAGCCGATTCAGACAGGAAGAGTCTGGAAGACAGAATGTCTTGAATGGTGAGGAAGTGACAGAGAGCCAGCTGGGGCCACCAAGAAAGGGAAAAGACAACCGACAGGATGGGAGAAAGATTCAGAAATCATCATCTGATAAGGACCCTGCATATAGAATATGCAAAGAACTCTTACAACTCGATAATAAAAACAAAAACCCAATTTACAAAACGGACAAAGGCTCTCAACAGAGATTTCTCCCAAGAAGATTTACAAATGGCCAATAGCCTATGAAAAACTGCTTAACATCAGCAGCTGCCAGGGAGATGAGAATAAAAAAGCACAGTGAGACACCACTTCACATGCACTAGGATGTATATCACCAAAAAGATCAAAGTGGTGTTGTGGAGAATGAGGAGAAACCGGAATGCTCCCATGCCGCTGGTGGGGAGTCACATGGTGCAGCCATCTTGGAAAACAGTCTGGCCATTCCGGACAGACTAAACATAGGGTTACCACGTGACCCAAGGATCTCACTCCTTCATCGACATTAAGAGACAGGAAAGAAGATTTCCACCCAAACATTTGGACACAAATGTTTACATGAGAGCTGAAAAAGTAGAAACAGTTCGAATGTCTGTCAGCTAATGAAGAGATACACAAAATGTCATAGTGCCATGGAATGGAATATCACCTAGCCGAAAGAAGGAATGAAGCACTGATGTAAGATGTGGGCGAAGCTTAGTGAATGAATCCACTCAAGTACCATGAGATAGCCAGGCACGGTGGCTTACACCTGTAATTCCAGTACTTTGGGAGGCCGAGGCGAGAGGATTGCCAGAGCCCATGGGATCGAGACCAGCCTCATGAGGCAATGGCGAGACCTCATCTCTACAATAAATATTTTAAAAAATTAACCAGGTGTGGTGGCACGCACCTGTGGTTCCAGCTACACGGAAGGCTGAGGTGGAAGGATCGCCTGAGCCCAGCAGGTCAAGGCCGCGGTGGCCATGAACGTGCACCACTGCACTCCAGCCTGGGCGACAGAGTGAAGCTCCAACTCAAAAAAAAAAAATTACCATGAGATACCACTCATAGAAGACCACACAGTCCATGATTCCATTCATGTGGAAGGTTCAGAACAAACTCATCTACAGTGACAGAAAGTAGATTCGGGGTTCCTGGGGGGAGGCAGCAGGGAAGGGGAAGGTAGCTGCTATTGGGTGTGGGCTTTCTTTGGGGGGTGATGAAAAGGACCTAAAATTGACTATGGTGATGGTTGCAAAACTCTGCGAATATACCAAACCCACTGGATTGTACGCTTTAAGTGGTAAATTGCATAATAAGTGAATATCTCAAAATATACAAAATAGGTGTTGTAGTAAAAAAAGACAGCTGTGTCACAATTCCATGACATTCTGGTTGTTGATACAATTCTGATAATGATGACAACAGAAATAACAAAAAACTCACACTTCCATCCCTAATACCTTTAGGTACTTTTTGTCAAATTAGACAATAGTTGGATAAGCATTTTGCAAAGATTTCAAGAGGCGAAGGGAATACATAAAGTCTATCCTCGGTAAAGGCATTCTGATAAGAAAACTTTTTAAAATAAAATGACATCTGCGTAAAATAATTATTGCTTCAGTATTTTTGCTTTGTCTTGGATTTATCTATAAACCAGATAGTAAATTTACTCCCTGGCTAGCATTATCTGTGTATTAGTTGTTACAGTTTCTAATGGTATAGAAACAAATCTACCTCATAGAATTAGAAAGTCTTATTACCAGACTCCCACATAGCTGCGCAAAAAGCACAACTTCTTTGAGGCAAGAAAATGTGATCTCTGAGGAAGCACCAAGCGGTCATTATTTAAATCTAGGTCAGGACCCACTAAATAATCATAATGGCTGTTTTAATGGGGCTAAAATTTACTGTGTCTTTTTTAATGACTATTATTTCATTTCTATCCTTCCAAAGCACCACCATAGAATGAATCAACATCAATAATCCAACAAGAACAACACAAAATGAGTTGCTTTCAAACTACTGCAATTAATTTAGAACAAAAAAATTGAAATGATTCCTCTAAACCATAAAAATCTGCTGACTAATACTTACCAAATACAGTGGAATTGTCCAGAAACAGAGGAAATGGAGGGAATTCTTGCAATTGCCCGGATAAGGGGAAGTCCTAACACTTAAAATAAATGTGTGTGGAAACCGCAGACTGATACACATCTCATGGAAACATTGATCCAGACCTGGCTGCTTTTCTAATATGTGACTGAATGACTAACACTCGGACATAAAACGGCTACAGCGGTGCGATACCTCGGTCATCTAACAACCGTCAGTATCATAATAGTTCTAAAGCATCACAAACCATCTCAGTTGTTTCTTGCTCTTCCATGGTCAAATCTTCCTTATAATAT